GCTCTCCCAGCCCCACAGCTCAGGGCAGAGGGGGGACCTAGCCCTTCACTGCCCCACAGGGAATGGCCTTATGGGAGGGGGGGTCCTACAGGGCCAGCAGCCCCAGCCTGGGGGCAGGTAGCAGGATCACCCTCTCACCTCTCCCCCCACCTCCACCTGCCACGAGTCCAGGTCTCTCCTTTAGAGTACGAGGGGCTGGAAGCAGCATGCTGTGCCCCCCACACAGTGCCACACTGCCTGGCATCACCCCTCCAGACAGAGAAGGCTGTGTGGGAGCCCCTGGGATCAGGTACCCCTGGCTCTTTCTGCAGGGGGGAGAAAACGAGATCCTACGCTAAGGCGGGGCTGGGGGATGCATGCAGGGCACAGCACTGTGTGCAGGATGCAGCCTCGTCAGCTAGCCCTGCTGGGGGGGGCCCCACACCTCAGGCTGAGCCCGCCTCCCCATTCATGCCCAGCAGCCCCAGAGCTATCTGCCCTTCATGAAGCCATCGAGGACACGGTCGCTGCGGTCAGAGAGCCAGTAGCCAGCCATGGCAGCCACGGCACCGATGAAGATGGCGGTGAAGACCATGTCGCCCTTGGCAGCCAGCGTGGCGAGTGCACAGATCATCACACCAAAGAACATCTGCTGCAGCACCACCACCTCGTCGTCGGTCACGTCATCAAAGAAGCCTTTCTCCGGGGCATCTGCGTGGACAGTGCTCGTGGAGAGGCACAGCCAAGCAGCCAGAGCACCCCCATTGCTACCCACACCCTCTACTCATCCCCCCACACTGTGTGAGCCGTACCAGGGGGCTTGTCCTCGACACACTGCCCATCCCGGCGGACGTGGCCTTGGGCGCAGACGCAGCGGTAGCTGCCCTCCGTGTTCTCACACACCTCCTGTGCTCCGGTGCACACCGGCTCCTCGGCGCTGGCACACTCGTCCACATCTGGGGGGGACACAGCGCTCAGACAGGGTTCAGGCAGTGGGGAGGGGGCAGTACAGCCTGCCAGCCTATGGGAGGTACTCACCCAGGCACTTGGCTCCATCCCGCCAGTAGCCCTTGTTGCATTTCTTGCAGCGAGCCGGTCCGGCACCCATGCAGCCGATGCAAGCCGTGGAGCAGTCTGCCATGGGGAAAGGAGCCAGGGTTGGTGCTGGAGTCCCCTCCCATGCCAGCCAGGGCTGGCCTCGAGAAGGGGAGAGCCACCTGCACAGAAATCCTCCACCTCCTCCTGACCTCGGCACTCGTAGGAGCCCTCCGTGTTGACGCAGTACTGGTTGGCTCGGCAATGCGCCATCTCTGTGCCACACTCGTCGATGTCTGTGGGAGAACTGGGGACTGTCCTGCCGAGCCCTTGGCTCCTGAGACACAGCCGCCCACGGCCCCAGGCTCCCCCCCGACCCTCACTCACCGATGCAGCGGTGCTCGTGCAGTACCCAGCCCCTCTTGCAGCGAAGGCAGCTGGAGTCCTCGGGCCCCGTGCAGCGCCCGCATGCCTGGTAGCACTCTGCGGGCAGGGAGAGCCGGTGTGGGTGCAGGCAGGGGGAGCTGCCTGCACCCAGAGTCTGGGCAGCACCAGGGGAACCCCGGCTGCACAGCCTCCCTGGCCCCCACCTACCAGCACACATCAGGTGGCTCTTGTTCCGCGAGGCCTCGTAGTAGCCATCACCACACTCGGCGCAGAAGGGGCCGCCATAGCCCGGGCTGCAGACACAGAGGCCGGTGCCGCGGCGCGTGCCGTCGCCATCGCATCGCCCATTGCCGCTGCAGGGCTGCCGGGGCCCACCAGCGCAGGCTACACGGGGAGAGACCAGCCGGCTGACAGCTGGAGTGGGGTGGCAGCCAGGGGGGCCCCTCCAGCCCCAGCACCACCCCACTCATCCCACAGCTACTCACACCGGCAGTCCGGGCCATAGGTGCCGGGTGGGCAACAGAGCATCA